TTTTTTTTTTAATTTGGCCCATTTCTCGATTTATGCGTGTCATCCTTGCGCAGGGGCCATGCTAATCTTCTCTGTATCGTTCCAATTTTAACGGATGTCCCGAAGGACCAAAGTTAAATATTTCGTTAATCAGGTATTTACTCTTTTGCCGAAATTAAAATTTTATAAATTCCTATTTTTTTCGATTAAATTTTATTTAATTTCCCAAAATTCGAAAAATCGTCCAGGGGGGAAATTTTTCTTCTTTGATTAGCATCAGACTTCGAGGTCAGGGGACACAGGGACTGTCTGTGCATTGTTTGCCTCTCTGCCCCTCCTCCCCACCCAACCTTATCTTCTCCTCTCGGTATACGGCTGCCAGCACCGGGACACATCAGCAGAGTGCCACCTCAGCAGTGACACGTCAGCAGAGTGCCACGTCAGCAGGTGCCACCTCAGCAGTGACACATCAGCAGAGTGCCACCTCAGCAGTGACACATCAGCAGAGTGCCACGTCAGCAGGTGCCACCTCAGCAGAGTGCCACTTCAGCAGGTGCCACATCTTAATGCGCCGCAGCCAACGACTGGCTGAGCGCGGATCCGCAGGAGCCAAGCCTGAACAGGAACTGAGCACCCCTCGGATACCGCGCAAACCACACACGACCATGGCTGCTAACTCTGACAACAGTGCACCAGCTAGCCCTAAGAGGCCGGTTACCCCTCCTCTCCCAGTTCAGCAGGCCGATGAAACGCTCCTAGCGTTCCTCGACCGTCTCCAGCACTATTCGGAGACAACGGCAACTGACCTACGCAAGTGCGAAGAAGAGGAAGCCGCCCGCCAGCAGGAAATACAACGCCAGCAGGCAGAGGCAGCAGCAGCACGTCAGCGGGCCGCAGCAGAAGCTGCAGCAGCCGCACGGTTGCAGCAGCAGCAGCTCGAGGCAGATCAGAACCAGGCTCGTTACCAAGCCACGATGGATCTTGCTCGCGACGAAGCCACATATGTCAGGCTACTTCGACAACAGCATTTCCAAGAGACCGAAGAACAAGCCCGGCCTACCGATGAAGAACGAACCAAGGAAGGGACAGCAGTACTAATGGAGACTCTGCTGTGCACATGCAATTGGCAGCAACATGAACTGCTCGCCACGCGGCAGGTCCTCATCCGCCGTGAAACAACACTTAAGGCACTGGACAAGAGGATCGCGACCCTGCAGGCCGAGAACAGCTCACTACAGGCCGCCAGCAGCCAGCAGCAGACGCTGAACAGCCAGCAGCAGACACTTAACCATCAGCTGCAGGCAGATGTCAGCAATGGGTTGGCACAGCTGTCATCAGCTGCATCAACAGGCAGTGCAGCAGTCGACTGCACCCCAGCTTTGGCCGCACAGGCAAAACAATTGGAGGAGCGCGTCAATCATTTAGTCGCATCCATCGGTGACATCAGCAAGTTTGTTGGAGCGTCGACAGTCAGCAATCAACTGCAGACGCTCAGCGACCGCGTTGACCAACGACCGGCCGCTGCCGCCAAGGAATGGAAGATGCCGAACTTCAAGATCGAGAAGTTCGACGACTATCACAAGACGGACCCGCTGCAATGGTGGATGGCCTTCAACACAGAGGCGGATGCACATCATACACCCGCCCATCGATGGCTGGACGCTCTATACCTCCAACTCATTGGTGGAGCGCGGGTCTTCATGACGCATATGGTGGTCACATTGGAGTGCACCATCGCCACCCTCCACACCAAGATCACCTGGGAGGAATTCGAGAAGAAGTGGAAGACCCGGTTCATGGTCAACAATGACAAGCGTCACTCTATGAACAAGATCTTCCGCATCTACCAAGGCCAGCAAACATCACGGGAATGGCTGACGGAGTGGCAAAGACTCGTCGCCACCCCGGAGTTGGGCTTACCATTCGACGCAATCCGGGCTGAATTCTTCGCTCGGTCATGCGACGCTTTGACAGCCAGGCTTGGTACCGAATTCCAATGTGAGACCTTTGATGAGCTGATCTCAAAGGCAAGAGACCTGATCCAAGGTAACCCACGCGCGGCCAACGAGACCCGCCAATAGCCCGGTTACGTGGAGAAAGGCAAGGGACAACGAACGCCGCAAGTAGCAGCAGTCCAGCAAGGAACTAGTGAGGACCACGCAGCCGTTTCAACATCAAGTGATGGAGATGTGGCGGCAGCGATACCACCACGACGCACGAAACCCCGAGGGGGCAAGAAGGCGAAAGAAGCGTCGGCGGATGGAGCACGACAGGCACCATGGACGAAATTTGGCATTACCAAAGAAATGTTCAAGTTGCGACAGAAATGGTCATGTTGTTTATGGTGCAACAGCRCCAAACACGTCACCAGTGCCTGCCTCGACAAGGACAAGGAAAATGTCAAGCGTTCGGTCTCGGGAAACTGAGCACCGCGGGAAGTGCAGCAACAACATTTCCCAGTCCGCCGGAGTCGGCTGCCTTGCTAGCAGCCTCTCTCACATCCGGGGACATCGCGGTAGTCGCAAGTTCTCGCGTTGAGTACGAGAACTATGCTGTCGAGCTGGTCCCACCGTTGAACCAGCCTCTCTGCGTGCAAGATTCAAGCGTATGCGCGGCAGTTCCGCCGTCGGATAATGAACCGGTTGCTTCGCCAGCCCTTTTATCAGAGGATCCGTCAACTTGAACGAGACTTGAGGATCTCGATCCGTTGACGGTTGAGGACTTCCAACGGTTGCCTCTTCCCTCCACCGGTTCCTTGCCAACTCCGCATTGCAATGCCTTAATGGCACATTTACGCGAATACTTGCACGCTGCAGTACCACCTCCGTCGACGGACAGCGGAGTAGCGGTTGTTGATCTTTGTAACTATCTTGCGAAGATCGACCGCGAGTACGCAACGCAACGGTACATCGACAACGACGCGCCGCTCCACTACATCCGCATTCAGATCGGAAAGGCGACCTGCAGTGCCTTGATCGATTGTGGAGCGACTCGCAACTACATCAGCCAAGACTTCATGGCACGCGCCGGGCTCGGCCCGCGCGTTCGAAGGAAAAGTCAGCCTACGCACGTCACGTTGGCCGATGGTCACACGCAAAAGTCAATCGACCGATGCGTTGACTCGGTGCCCGTGTACTTTGCCCCGCTAGCAAGCTAGGCCGTGTCTTTCGACATATTGGACACCAAGTTCGATATGATCCTAGGCATGTCGTGGCTGCAAAGCGAAGACCACCGGGTGAACTTCCATCGCTGCACCGTTCACGTTCCTGATCGGCATGGTGAACTAGTCTCGTGTACGGTGCCGCTTCCTCATCCTTCGATTGGTTGTCACGTGGTATCCGCGGCGAGCATTCGCCAATCCATCCGGCGGGACGACATCGAGGAGATGGGCATATGTTTTCTTCACGCCCTCCCACCCGGTGATCAGCCCAAGACGGATACGTCGGACCCACGCATCATTGAGCTGTTGGACAACTATGAGGATGTCTTTCAAGCTCCCGCCGGAGTCATACCGGATCGGCCCATACACCAGGGGATCACTCTCGAGAACGGCGCCGTACCTCCGCGCGGATGTATCTACCGCATGAGCGAAGAGGAACTACAAGTGCTTCGGGCACAACTAGACGACCTCTTGGCCAAGGGCTGGATTCGCCCTAGCTCTTCGTCATACGGTGCTCCCATTCTCTTCGTTCGGAAGAAGAACAAGGACCTTCGTTTGTGCATCGACTATCGTAAACTCAACGCATAAACGATCAAGAACGCCGGCCCTCTCCCTCGGATCGATGATCTTCTCGAGCAACTTGGCGGCGCCAAGTACTTCTCGAAACTTGACCTCAAGTCCGATTATCACCAGATCGAGATTCAGCCAAGAGATCGGTACAAAACCGCTTTCAAGACGCAGTATGGGCACTTTGAGTGGATCGTCATGCCTTTCGGTCTCACCAATGCCCCGACTACTTTCCAAGCGGCTATGACGACGCAATTCCGCTACTTACTCGACCGCTCCGTACTCATTTACCTCGATGACATCTTGGTTTATAGTCGGTCGCTGGACGAGCATCTCGAGCACCTTCGTGCCGTATTGGAGCGGTTTCGTATCGCCAAGTACAAGGCAAACCGCGACAAGTGCGAGTTTGCCCAACAAGATCTGGAGTACTTGGGCCATTACGTCACGCCACAAGGCATTCGTCCGCTCGCGGACAAGTTACGAGCTATTCAAGATTGGCCGGACCTCAAGTGTACTACCGACGTTCGCTCCTTTCTCGGCTTGGCATCGTACTACATACGCTTCGTCAAAGGATTTCAACGCATCGCTGCACCATTGTTGCGACTTCATTCCCCCTTGGTGCCTTTCGAGTTCAGCGACGAGGCCCGGCATGCGTTTCACACGCTGAAGATGGCTTTGCTTCAAGCTCCCGTCTTAAGCATCTATGACCCGACGTTGCCTACCAAAGTGACTACGGACGCCTCCAGTTACGGCATTGGCGCGGTTTTGGAACAGCATGACGACACAGACAGGCATCCGGTTGAGTATTTCAGCCAAAAGATGTCGCCCATCAACACTCTTGATGATGCGAGGAAGAAAGAACTCCTAGCTTTTGTCAGYGTACTTAAGCGTTGGCGTCACTTTCTCCTCGGGCGTCGGCGATTCACGTGGGCAACGGACAACAATCCGTTGACATACTACAAGACGCAAGACACGGTGAGCAGCACGATCGGTATGTGGATGTACTTCATTGACCAGTTCGACTTCACCTCCAAGCACATTCCGGGCTCCTCGAACAAGGCGGCGGATGCTCTCTCGCGAAGACCCGATCTTTGCGCCATGGTGCACTCCAYGTTCGGCCTCGACGAGGACCTCCAACACCATTTCGTAAACGGGCTACAAGTCGGATCCGGGATTCTCCACACTCTACGCGGACTTATCATCGGACCAACCGCCGACAAGCAACTATCGCATCACCGACGGCTACTTGCTCCTCCATACGCGAGGCAAGGACTTGTTGTGTGTTCCCCAAGACCGCATCTTGCGCACTCGCCTCCTTGGCGAATACCATGATTC